CCCCATTTCTTAATAGATATGAAAATTGTAGCAGGGAGAAAGGCTGATTGTTCCCCTGTTCTTTGCAGTCTCAGACCGCCTGGAGGCAGTACTTTTATCTTGCAAAACCACCATTCCGAGGTCCTTGAAAACATGCCAGCAACGCGCTTTGGGTGCACCAGCCCCTCCACCTGACCCTGAGCACAGGAATTTTGGTTCCTTTGTGCCAGGTTAAAGGCTTTATAAGAGTTCTGCCTCAATTTCCCCCGAATTGTGCCAGGCAAGTTCTGTACATGCTCACTCTCAGAAACAGCAGAGGCAAAGACATATAGACTTTTCATCTATAATCTTCTGTGGGCAGGGCTCTGTTAAGAAGTCTGATTGGGCTGAAGGGACTGTGCAGATGCCAGAGCCATTCTGAAATTCCCAAATGTCTGTCCCCCATGGCCAAGCTCAGAGCAACCTTTGGATCCACCAAGCTCCGTGAAATGCATTTTCTTTCTCAAGTTGATCCCAATTTCTGTTAATTATTGAAACGCTTGGAATCTAAACATGATCAGAAAGAAGAAACTTTGAAAAGAAAATCCAGCCGGGAGTGGATTTTCACACCTGTAATCCCAGCACTTTGGGAGGCCAAGGCGGGAGGGTCACTTGAAGCCAGGAATTCAAGACCAGCCAGGACAAGAGACCCCCATCTTTTCTAATTTTTTAAAAATTACTCAGGCAAGGTGGTGCGTGCCTGTAGTCCCCATTACCGGAGGCTGAACCCAAGAATTCCAAACTGCAGTGAGCTATAATTGCACCACTGCACTCCAGCTGGGCGACAGAGCAAGACCCTGTCACTAAAAAAAATTCTCATCACCCAGAGATGACAACCCTTTGTATATCAGTAGGTATCCTTCCAAATCCCCATCTATGCAGACGCACACACATGTTTCCACCTTTTAAATGGAACCATATTTTAGTAACTGCCTCTCTGTTACTCAGTGGATTGCAAGTATCTTAATGTCAACACATGTCCTTCAGCTATGTCTCTTTAAATGACTGCAGAATATTCTGTGTTGCTTGTGATTTATTTGGAAGCTAGCACGGTTCTGGGGAGCATCACAGGCTTTGGGGGTAGGAAGACGGCTTTCCCCAGATAAAATTCATTAAATTCGGAGCCTGCTACTCCCCGGGAGAGAAGTGTGTACTGAACAGCAGCCCCGACCCACCGGATTCCTGCGGGGATCAAAACAGATACCTTGTCTCCGATGCTACGAGTTGTATCTGAGTCTGTGTTGAACCGGCCCTGTTGAACAGGCCCTGGAAGTCCTGCTCCGAAGTCCCTTATGGGGTTATTAATCACAAACAGTTTTCCTTCCCTGTCCTCCTCTCTTTACTGATTTCCCCCCGCCGGAATTGGGTGAGACGAAACGGCGGGATGGGGAGCCTCGCCCAGCGAAGGGGCGGCCCCCGGGGACGCCCCGGAGACGCCCGGGAGAATCAGGGACTGTGGGGCTGGGCCGGCGGCTCGGCCTCCCATTGGCTGCCGCGTACGCGTCACCTGCCGCGGGTGGGCGCAGAGGCGAAGTCGGGGCCAGCGCTGGGGCCAGCTCGTGGTCCCGCGCGGTCGCCGCCGCCGCCGCCCGGCGACATGGCGGGGACCGGGCGCTGGGCCCCCCTGTTCCTGTGCCTGCTGCAGGCCGCTCCAGGTAAGGGCGGGGGCCGCGGGAGGGCGAGGGGCCGGGGGGCCGTCCAGGGCAGGCCGGGCCGCGCCCAACCTCGGACTGGAGTTGGGAGTTGGAAGTTGGGGGACCTGCCGAGGGTATGCTGCTTCCCAGGACTAAACAAGTCTTTGAAATTCGTTTCCTATTTCCGGGCCAGCTTCAGGTGAACTGGGAAAATAAAAAACAGTGGCAATGTAAAAAGCAACTGGGTTTCTCTGTAAAGTGCTTTTTTTTTGGCCGGGGTCAGGTTTGAATCTGTCACCTCCGGTATATGGGGCCGGCGCCCTACTCCTTCAGCCACAGGCACCGCCTGTGAAGTGCTTTTTTAAGGTTTCCTGAAGTACTGTTCCCTGAGTTAATACCGCACTGGACTCTCAAGTGTGGGAGTGTGGGCAGTAGGTAAGTGGGATGGAGGAGGCCTGCGTTCCTCTAGGTCTCCTCCTCCCCCTCCCGGCCTAGGGGAGGGCCCTCTGGCCTCTGGCTTGGACTGTGCCCCAAGGTCCTGTCCTAACTAGATGGGGTCTTCCCTGCCCCACGTCCCACCCTCACCCTCCATCCCCCTACCCTGTCCTTGCTGGTACATAAAGTGGCAGGTTACAAAATACCTTGGGGTAGGACCTAACACCCAAACCCCAACTTCCCACCACTCCAACGAATCCAAAGAAGTGATCCCGAAATTGCCCCCCAGAATATCTACCTAATCTTAAAATTTAAAGAGCTGGAAAGGTTTTCAGTCATCCTCTAATAATCATAAAAGCCAACATTTGTTGAGCGACTTATTTGCGCTGGGCACCACATTGTCTTATTTAAGCCTCACAACTCAACTATCCTATGAGGTAGATATTATTCTCCCTTTTCAGATGGGGAATCTGAGGCTCAGAGCAAATTAAGGGAATTGTCCAAAGAGGACAGCAAAGGTGAGACACTCAGAACAGAGAAGACTGAGGCTGAAGTGAGTCTGGCCAGTTTGGGCCTTTGGGGTGATGCCCCAGCCCCCTGGTGCTGCCCTCCACCCCCCACCCCAAGGAGCAAGTGTTTTTGCTGCTGATAAGGAACAGTATACCTGTGGTGGACCTGAGGTGCTCTGTACCCTGTTTCACTGTCAAACCTAATAATTTTCCTGTCTGGACCCGGCTGTACTTTCGCACAAGAAATATTTAATGTATGTGACAAAATACAGTATGATAGGTTAGGGTGACCGGCAGCCAGCCAGGTTCAATTGCAATCCTGGCTCCCACACAAACTGACTGTGTAGCCTCAGGCAATTTCTTAACATTGGTTTCTTAGCCTAGTGCTCCTTCTGTGGAAGGGGGATGAGTGACACCTCCCTCCCCCAGGGTGATTTGTCCTGAGGATTGAATGAGGTTTTGCATATACAGAGCCAAACCAGTGCCTGGCACCTTTTAAAGCCTTGATGGAGGGGAGCTACTCTAGCTGCTGCTTTTTCAATGTGGTCAACTCAAACTTTGGGACTTTCCTACCCCTAGGACACTTGCCAGTGGCTTGCAGAGAGATTGGCCTCCTGCCAGTCTCCTGCTGGGAAGTCCGGAAGCTGGGCACAGTGACTGGGCAATATAGTGATCCAGTCCCATAGAGGACATAGGTGGGGGTGCAGTCACCCACATTTGGGTCTAAAAGGTCATGAGGAGGCAGCCCAGGCCGGTGCGAGTCAGTAGAACTGGGCCCCCTTTCCTGATGCCATTCTGTTACCTGTCTGAATTTCCCTGATAGCCCATGTGACACTTCAGGGCACTGATTTCTCCATGGGACTATAAACTCCTACAGGGCAGGAATGAAGCCATATTTCTTTTTAAACCCCTGGCACACTGTGGTCGGCAGATGTGGGAATTATAAAGCTGAACAGGCCCCAGATGAGAACCTAGAGGACAAAGTATGGTCAAGGGCCCAGACTTTGCATTTGACTAAGTCTGGAGTTGAATCTGATGTTATCTGAGAGGGCCTCTGTTTTTCCATCTGTAATGTGATGATCATAATTAATAGCTACCTCCTGTAGGTATGGTGAAGATTAAACAAGAAAACGCAGGTAAAGTGTTTAGCATGGATCTTGGCTCATAGTTAGAACACAGTACACATTAGCTGCTATGATCATTATCATCACCACCTGTTAGACAGGTCAAGGAAGACTTGCTGGAGGAAGTGACATTTGAATCAAGACTTAAACTCCAGGCAGGCAAACACACCTGGGTTCAAAGACATCCAAAAGAATGCAGTGGTTTGGGAACAGCAAGAAAGAAAAATTGGCAATGGGAGTCTGGCGAGCCAGTGGGGGTGATGTCTGGGAGAGAGCAAGGTGGTGGTCTGGCCAGACCATGTCAACTAGGGCCTTACACACCTTGATAAGGAGCATAGACTTTACTCTGAGGGCAAAGGAAGAGCATGAAACTGGGGATTGGGTGTAATCAGATACATATTTCAGGAGATGAGGATTAACAAGGAGGAGGTGCCTGTTTGGAAGGGGAAGCCAGGTAAAGGCAGTCTAGGAAAAGTGTCACCAGTCACATCAAAGTAATGTGTAAGCAGCAAAGGAGGGAGCCAGGTGGATATGGGGGAGGAGGAACAGCAAGTTCAAAGGCCCAAAGGTGGGAGCAGGGCTGGGTGCTCCAGGGAGAACAAAGAGCCCCATGTCACTGGAGAGGAGGGAGCAAGGACAGAGCAGGGGGCCTGGACTGGGTGGGGCCCTGGAGGCAACTGGGAAGACTTTGGAGTTTACCTGGAGTGAGAAGGAAGCCTTTCTGGTGTTTAAGCAGAAGAGCCAGGAATCTGGCTTTCATTTTGGCCCTTGCTGTCACGTGGATAACAGACTAGGGGGACAGGGTGTTTTGTTTGTGCGTTTGCTTTTCTAAGAAGGGAAAAAAGCCTTTTAATAGTATAAAAATTGTTTACTGGTGTTTCTCCTGG